AAGAAGGAACTTCTCCCCTTTGAACTATGAAATGGCTGGAGTATGAAGCTTTTGTTCAGCAGTAGGTTTTTTGGCACACGTTGGAACATTTGCTGCAGAAGTCCCTTCATCGTCTTGTGACTCTTCGTCATCGTCAGAACCAAAGACATCCCGTCGCGCCTTAAAAACAACAATGAAATACATATATCAATTAGAAAGAGAACTCGAGATAGAAGTAAAGAAGAAGAGATAGAAAACCTTAGAATGAGGTCCTCTGTCTCATGTTGATTCTCTACCGCTTTCTCAACATGCTGCTGGGAACCAGATTGCTGTTTTGCTCTCTTCCAATGTTGATCTGCATTGCTGCTCTCTTCTAAAGAGGTGGATCTACTCCTTCTCTTGTTGGTCTCAGGAATTCTGGCAAGAAGCGCCTCATGATCTCCACTTGTAGAATCACCCTGGTCAACAACTGGCTCTTTGCCTCTCGAAGATATCATGTTCGGCTTTGATGCAAGCAGATCCTCTATATGGCGCTCAAGATAGTCTCCGTGAACCTGTTGCCACCACGACTTATAAGCTTGTGTTGATTTCTTCGAATCTGGAGATACGCAAGGAAACGAAGCTTTGGATGAGGATCCGCATAGAACGCTTTGCTGCCAATAGTAAATTCCGTCATCAAGAGAGCCCTCGCGGAAGTCTTTCTTCAAAGTACCAGGAACATCTTGATAAAACCCAAATTGACGACTGAAACGATGAGGACTATATGGCTCAATGAAAAAGCGATTGCTTTGGTGCCATGTAAGGTAGTTAGGCCGAATCTCCGTGAAATACCTCCACTCGTATCTAGGCCTTCGTTGATCATCGACGTACCGGGAAGTCTGGTCCTTGATGATGATATTGCAAGTCCATGAAGCGGAGTCCCCCTTGTGGATACGTCTACGAGCTTCCTCAGGGACAAAGTGTCTTGCGCCGTTCTCACCGGAATATGTCACCATCAAGGGCTTGTGCGTTTGACCAATTGTGAAGTGAGTTCTAAAGTAAATCGCCAACCAGCTGTAAACGAAATGGACGGGAAATGTCGATCGAGACGGACTTTTGTAGCTTGTAAGCTCGTTCAGCCCCTTGTAGATACTCGTCAAGACCGGAACCGCAAGGCCAACTTGTTGAGTATATTTTTGGGCATGTGGTAACCGAGGTACCCGACTCGGGTCGTTCTCAAAGGAAGGCTCTTCGGAGCTTCGTTCACTACCTAGTCGTCAAAGTCACACAAC